AAGCTATGTTTTCAAAATAATTACCTCTTCTACACCCTCTGTGCTTTGTTGTGGCTTTCTCTAATCTCATTGTTCTTGGCATGACCTGCCTGGTGGTTTAAAATTGGCGCAAATACTTGGATGCAGATGCTGTTGTTTACAACCCCCTAGTTAGCTAAACTGTTTTATGATTTCTGGAAGTTCTACTCAGTACAATTTGTAATTTTGAAGAAAAAATGCTGTTTTGTTAACAGAACATAAAAATCAAATTTCATCAATGTATAAACAAGGTGTATTCACTATATGAATTCACTTATTTTAAATGATATTAGGGTGGGAAATAGAACTGCTGTACACAAACCGGATATAAATTGATAAGCCGTTCTTAGAAAGGTTTACAACATTACAGATAAGTCGTTCCTAAATAAACATGCTCAGCACATCTGTAAGTAATTAGCACAATCCCAGCAGGTTAGGCTGAGGGAAGTGAAAGTAGATGGTAATGTAATAGTTACTGAATATACTAAATATAAATCAATATAAGAAAAACATTTAATTGATGTGATAACATGTATGTGTATAGCCTGAGACTAAACAAATCATGAAGTTCAAAGAATATACTATTTACTTTACAGTTATCATAGTTATAAAAATCATTTGTGTTAATAAAAATAATATCAATTTTAAAAAATGAAAAGGGAATGACAAAAGTTCAGGTCCATGGCATAGTAAAGTTCTAAAAAAAATCAGTTTAATTTATGAAAATTAATTGCTTTGATATTTAATCCGCAAACTAAATACAATATTGCAATGTATTTAATCATGCAATACTTTGGGTTTTTTGTTTAAGTTATAAAATATCATAAAAATGTTTCTTATGCAACTCAATACTTTTAAAAAAAGAGAATGAGTTGACTGTTTTGTGGCTAAGTTAAAAAATCCACCAGAATTTTCAAAAATACGCCTTTTGAAATTTTCTAAGTTTTATTTTCCTTGTGCCAAAGAGACTAAATAAAAAATACACCCGGATTTAGATTTTACGCCTGGAAAAAAGGAGACGTATTTCTGGCTAAAATACGTATACGCCTGAAAATGAACCGTATTTTTAAGAATACGTCTCTTGTACGCCAGGATTTGCAAAAAATCCAGGCGTAATACGCCTCTGAATTTCGTACGGGTTATATGAATCTGCAAAGGTTTGAATTTTTTTATCTAATGATTTTCAAAAAAGAATACAGTAAGGCTAGACTCACTTTTCAGAACATCGGGGCTTGATAAAAATGTTAAATGGTTGTCTTTTAACTTTACTAAATAACATATGACTGTTAAAACACCCCCCTCCCAGCCATTCAATAACAACATGCAAGAATATCCTAAACAGCAATTGCAGCTTAATTTTTACGATACAATAGGTTAATCAGTATCGAGATCTGAGCAAAGGAATTATTCTTTGACACTTTTAAATGCCTGTTTTTAAGATGATAGGTCGAATTTTCTCTAACTTAACGCATTGTAGTAACTCTTGGACTTCCGGTCCAAGGACTATAATTTATGCATATGATACATAAGACCCCGTTGAGGCGCAATGCAGTGTATTTTTGCATCATCAACTCTCTATTACCTTTACGTTCAGATTTTCCAGTTAGAGCAATGGGAATGCTTACTTAAGCTATTTTCGAGAAGCCTTAGCATTGTAACGGGAAACAAAAGGAGAGTTTATTTATTGAAATATTGCTGTTTTAATTAAGATGAAAAGTATAAACCCTTAAAACTCCCATAATATTGCCAAATGTTTTGTTAAACATGCAATCTTTGATTTCTGTTAAGCAGACTCAACCTTGACTTCCGGTTATGGTACGAAAATTGTTCAACCGTTAAATTACCGATATTTACCAAATTGAAGATATCCATAATTTTAGATACAAAATTCTTTACTTTACACAATTATTTCCCCCAAAGTAGGGTGTTGCGTTTCTTTTGCGTGTCAGTATATTATACTAATATATGGCTCTTTGTGTTTACCAGGGATTTTAAACAATCAATAAAAAGTATTAGATTTTGTAAAAAGTAGAAAAAAAAATAGGCACTATATCTAAATATTTATGATACTGTGAAATCAACCATTTTTGCTGTAATTGCATGTCATTGAAGAGACCCTCTTATCTTTGTAATTCATAAAATTTAATCCACCTCTTTATCCACAAAAACAAATCACCATGAAACAGTCTTTCTTCACTGCATCATGATCCTGAAAATTGGACCTCGCGAAAATAATTTTATTGAAAATTTCTATTCCAGGCTTGACCCTGAACTACTCTAAGAGTGACAATATTTTACCCAGTGAGTGTGCCCCAGGACCTCAACAGGAAGGGATGTGTCGCGGATGTTGACGAGGGTCAATAAGATCGGGTTTCCCGTGATGATCAAAGCCTCGGAGGGTGATCAAAGCCTCGGAGGGAGGGGGAGGGAAGGGCACCAGGAAGGCGGAGAATGCCAACGACTTCCCCAATCTCTTCAGACAGGTAGGGAATAGGAATAATTTATTTTGTTGTGACATGTAAAATGCATAGATAATGGCAAGAAATTTTGTGCAGGGATATGGAGAGATACCATATAAGTGAAAATTATAGTGAGAAGCAAATTTATAGGGTTTATGAAAAAAAAATGGTATAAAAATATATTTTTAGTGAGAGGTAGTTTTAGCGGTTTTATAATGTAAAGAGAGATAATGATTACAACTAGTAAGAATGAATTGTTCAATTGTCAATGAATATTAAATTTTAGCCAGCCTGATCAGAACCTTTGCTGATAATGCCAAATTGAATCCTCAATAAGGAATCTGCTTATAAAGAAATACACTCATTTTATTTCCAACTGAGTTTCAATTCTAAAATTTCATCAACAAGTTCTTTACATGCAATTATGATGGGTCTAAAAGAGGAATCCTGTGTTCTATATATAGGTGCAGGCTGAGGTTCCGGGATCCCCCATCTTCATCATGAAGCTGGCGACCCACGCCCGTCACCTGGAGGTCCAGATCCTGGCCGATAACTACGGTAACGCCATCTCTCTGTTTGGGAGGGACTGCTCCATCCAGAGGAGACATCAGAAGATCATTGAGGAGGCTCCCGCCTCTATAGCCAAACCCGAGGTGTTCGAAAAGATGGAACAGGTAGGTAGAACTTGAGGATAATTGTGATAAAAATATTTTTCACCTTACTATAGATACTACATGAATAAACTATTCCAAAACTTTGTGAGCCAAGTGAAATACTGTATCCTTTCCTACAACAGAGAAAAGACTTCTCTTCATTTTCAAAAAATAGTTGAACTTCAATACCTTGAATGCCAATATTTTCATTATCAGTATCTCAAAGTGATTTGTAGGTTCCCAAACACTTCTCGTATCTCACATCCTTATAAACTCGTACATTTCATCTCAATCCAAATGAGTTTGAGAATTAGCAAGGATTGATTGTGAATGTTTTCTGAGACACTGAGCAAGAAATTAACATTAGGCCATAATAAAATATTCCTAGATTCTCATCCCTGCCCGCCCGGATTTTATACCCACGTCTCAATTTTTTTATTTCTGTTTTTCTTAATCTTCTTAGTTCTGATCGGGATCGGTATTCATCTAGATACCATTCTACTTTCATTTTAAATCTCGCGAAAGTGGACATGATTTTGACAGCTGAAAAGATTGTAATTTCTGTAATACATGCGTATCATAATATTTTAAACAAGAGTCACTCATGTTGAAAAAAAATTATGATGATGTGAAGTAAGAGGTAATAAAACCTTTACTATGAATTTATTTGGTTCTACTCTAAATCCATTCATTACTTTCAAATGAAAGTACAATAAACAACAAACACACCATTTGGACATAGCAACGACACGCAGTAGCTTTATTTTTGAGTGTACATAACATATGCAAAATATGAAAATCAATTTGTATATACAAGTTTGTTGGATTGAATAAATCATGCTAAAATTTTAAACTTTATCGTGCTCTACGTGTCGTCCTAAACTGGTATTTAAACCACTATTCACCTCTATATAGCCTTGCTAACGAGACCGGTTCTAAAGAACCACGTGATATACACCAGGTATTCGAATGAAAACCTTGTAATTCCGAAAAAGTAATTTATTATCACACCGAGTAGAAATTGATTTCTGTCTAATTCGTTCCTCAAACGAAAGAAATCATATTTCTACTCTAAATCCATTCATTACTTTCAAATGAAAGTACAATAAACAACAAACACACCATTTGGACATAGCAACGACACGCAGTAGCTCTAAATACAAAGAACGGGAAAATGAAAGTATAAAATCATTGATTTTAAATTCAATCCAACAAAATCCATATAAATCATAAGTCATTCAATATTTCAAACAATAAATACATCAAATTTTACAGAAATTTTCCAATAAAATGTTTTGAAAACAATTAAATAATCACCAAAAAAAATACATGTATTCACTCCATTACTTTTATACAAACAAACAACAACATTCTATGCATGACAGCCAGCGGTGCGTGCGCTGGACGCTGTATTTTATAAACAGTACATCAATATACATATATAGAACACAGGACATTGTGTATGAATCCCCCAAAACTGCTGCATCTATTATAATTCTAAAATATTCTTTGTGATAAACATGAAAAGCATCAGGGCCGGCCAGGAAAAACTAGAGATAAAAATAATTTTTTAAAAACTCTAGAAACCTGTGTCCGTTGCCAAGTGCCGCTGGATGCAAAAAATGTTGCGACGGACCTCACAACCTACCAATAAAACCCTTAAAAAAATCAAATATATGTATATAAATTTCTTCACTTATACCCTTTATACATAAATTTAAAAAAAAATTAGCTGTAGCTCGCTTAAGTCGGCGGCTAGAAGTGACCAACCTAAAAAAAAAAAACAGTTCTCTACTACATCTCAAAATCAATTTCTATTGGTCATTCTCTGACCAATCCACACAACATGCGTATAAATAATTATCTTGTCATTAATACAACATTTTCTCACTATACTAGCGAAACGCGGGAAAATATCAATACATGTATATCCATCCTAAAAAATAAAAATACACCGCCGTCTTTTGAAAATCCATAACGCAATTCACCATGTGAGTCTGATTGTAAAAGTCTTGATGTTATGCACACATCCTATCCATACATCGATAAATGCTTGCTGCACTTGAATTTTGAGTATAGTTTCAAGTCAAACTCAACGCATACCATACGATTTATCGTGAAGTCCCAGGGAAGAAGACTTCAAATATATCAAATCAAATCGACATAATACATAGAAGTATATTCATCATCCAATATCAAAATAGCACAAAATACACATTCCTGTGAAACATCTTGAATCCCATCTCAATTCCTTGGATATGTGCCTCTTTGAAACTCTGTCATTATTGGTACACCGATTAATACCTCATGGTGCTTGAATTAAACGTAAGAAGAATATAACCAATAATACCTGGAAGAACAAATTTGATGTTAGAAAACTGATAGATACATATATCTTGTAACTGATATTTTAGTAAATATGTATAGGATCTCTTTTTCTCTCTCTCTTAATCTATTTAAAAAATCAAAGTCATCATCATTGTGGCTAGCAAAACATGCATACTATCATTAAATGATAAAATGAATCAAAATTCCACCATTAAGTTCAAAATTTATGAATTGCACTAATCATTTTTTTTTTTAATTAAGAAAAACATGAATGTGTTTGTATAAACATCCATTTGATAATCAAGTTATGATAACCTTATTTTCATCAGAATAATCAACATTAACTTTACTTTTTGTAGAAATACTTCCTACTGAAAACAATCTCACCAAATGGCATCAAAACAAATGTGGTTGGATAAACATCCATAAAATCATTTTATGATATAATTTATCAAAAGTTCAAATTCCAATTAAATTTTACTTTATTTTCATCAGAATTATCAACCTTTACTTTTACTACTTATGTAGAAATACATTCTACACAAACAAATCTTGCTAAATGGCATTACCACAAATGTGGTTGGATACAATTCCATACATTCATTTTATGATATGATTAATCAAAAGTTCAAATTCCAATCAAAATTTACTTTATTTTCATCAAAATTATCAACCTTTACTTTACTACTTCTGTAGAAATACTTTCTACATAAACAAATCTCGCCAAATGGCATCACCACAAAAGTGGTTGGATACAAATCCATACATTCATTTTATAATTTATCAAAAAGTTCAAATTCCAATTAAATTTTACTTTATTTTCATCAGAATTATCAACTTTTACTGTAATTTATATGTAGAAATACTTTCTACTTTAACCAACTCGCCAAATGGCATCACCACAATACGGTTCAAAAAACATCCATAAATTCATACTATGTGAAAAATTTATCAAATACTTCAAGTTCGAATCAATTTTTCTTTGATTTCATGAAAATTATAAACTTTTACTTTTATACCAAAAACACTTTCTACAGAAACCAGTCTTACTAAATGACTTCATCACATATGTGGTTGGACAAACATCCATCAATTCAAACTCGTATGATAAAGAACCCACTTTCTACTTTAACCAACTCGCCAAATGGCAACACCACAAATGTAGTTGGATAAGCATCTATAACATAATATCATATTATGATAAAATGTGCAAAGCATTCGAATCCAATCAATTTCTATTTCATAGTATCAGCAGTATAATGAAAACAATCTTTAATAGATTGCTAAATGACAATACCATATACATGGTTGGAAAACATTCATAAAAGCATGATATGCTAAATTGTGGCAAAGTTATTCAAATTCAAACCCAACTCAATATTATTTCAAACAGAAATATTATTTTTCATTAGACTATTTTGTACTTCTCATTGTCTACTGGAATCAATCCCGCCAAAAACCAAACACGATAGATGCGTTATGATTAACATCCATAAAATATTTTATGCTAAGCTGGGTTAGAGTTGGAATTCCCTTCAAATTCTATTTTTGTTTTAAATTAAAAAATAACAGCTTTTAAATAGCTACAGTATTATAAAAATCGCTTTCCAGTGAAAACTAAATTCAATAAAAGTAAATACTCCAAAAATTGTTGCCAATTAATAAACATTCCTTATATCATTTCATTATAAAATGAAATATATCAACATTATCAAAATTCAAATCTTCCAAACACTACCAAACACGAATATTGTGCAAAACAGCCCATGAAATTAATATTCAGAAAAGATTTAATTCAATTTTAGTGAATCATTTTTAAAATTAGAATTCATTGACAAAATTTCCTTTTTACTCGAAATCATACCGACAAAACTCAGTATCTGTTATCAAAACTTTTTAGAATTGAAACTAAATACTTAGATCTCTTTTTCTAGAAAACTCAATCAAGCCAATTAAAAACACTGCAAATACTGCAGAATTATCATTCCTATAAATATTTTATACCATCTTAATCTTCTTTTTTTTTTTTTTTTAAATTAATACTCAATTGATTAATTTCAATTTTAAGTAGATAATTCAAATGAAACCTTAGTTTAACTACAATGTAAATCAAAATGCAAATATTCTAAACCTTTAATTCTCTTTCACAAAGCCGTACATGTCCAGCATTAATCATAAGACAAGTAAAACTCGTTTTTTCTTCTATAAAATTTATATGTCATTAATACATATACTTGGTTAATAGATACCAAACAAAAATTATCTATGCCCCATACTCTACTATAAGGATTCATGATTGAATGATCTACTAAAATAAATCGAAAAACGAATTTTTATATATACGCACAAATCAGAATATGAAATGCTTCTCTTTTCCATTGTGATGGAGTCCGCATGAAATTTAACTTTTAATTGGCATAAAACGCAAAGAAAAAATCTACCGTACTTCTCTGGAGATCTTAAAATCACCTTCTTCATTATACTCATCGTGATACCAACCCCAACATGTAACTACCTGAAACATAAGAATATACTCTTTTCTCTTCAACATATCTAAAACTTTTCATTTTAGTAGCACATTTGACAAAATGGCAAGCAACTGAAATTGAAAAATTCAAACAATTTTAATTGATCGATATTTTCTATACTCAGGAAATACCCTTGATATAATGCTGATGCATTTATTACGTTTTAAAATGATAAACAAATATATTTAATTGGATATAAGTGCAAATATAATATCTTATGAAATCTACACTTGTTTTAATTAAAAAATAAATTAACGTAACGTATTTGTTTTGCTTTTCAGAAACACCAGTTTTCTTCCTTTAACAAATCTATCTTTATACAAAACAAATTATCTATTTCTGGAAATAACTTCTATTATCATATACTGACTAGAATTAACGAATCTCATCATCTAATACAATCATGTATTTGTTTTCAAATTCTCTCTATTACAAACCTTGTTATCACTTATTTACATGTATTACTTATTCAAAAACTGATCAATTGTATTCTCAAATGAATACTTATCTTATAAAAACAAGATCTATGATGGCTTTTCTTTGATGACCTCGCTTTCCACACTGTCAAATCTCTCTCCAACTCTATTTTCTGTGATTTCATATCATCTACAATGGCTAAACATGTCGATGAACCACGCCCTACGCCACTTCGTTCTGTATCTGAGATTTAAACTTTATCGTGCTCTACGTGTCGTCCTAAACTGGTATTTAAACCACTATTCACCTCTATATAGCCTTGCTAACGAGACCGGTTCTAAAGAACCACGTGATATACACCAGGTATTCGAATGAAAACCTTGTAATTCCGAAAAAGTAATTTATTATCACACCGAGTAGAAATTGATTTCTGTCTAATTCGTTCCTCAAACGAAAGAAATCATATGTATTTTATATAGAATTATACCGATTGACCAGGTCAATAAAAAATCTGCAAAACTGATAAAATAAAAATTATGAAATAAGAGCCGCCTGCCCGCCTCGATTTTAAAAAAAGAATCGGATTAAAATTTAGCAATGTATTTATTATGGCCTTATAGCAATTAATCAATATATAATACTTTTCTTCCAGACCTGTGGTCACACTAGGTATTGACATGAAATTAACATCATAGCTTGAAATGAGTGTATCATATTATCTCTGTAGGCCGCTATGGAACGCCATCACTGCCTTATAGCAGAACACTGCTATTGCATTGCGTCAACCTTCCATTACATTATGTCAACTCTTTATGACATTTACTCACACTAGTATTGCATTGTGTCAACCTTCCATTACATTATATCAACTCTTTATGACATTAACCCACACTACTATTGCATTGTGTCAACCTTCCATTACATTATGTCAACTCTTTATGACATTAACCCACACTAGTATTGCATTGTGTCAATTTCCATTACATTATATCAACTCTTTATGACATTAACCCACACTACTGTTGCATTGTGTCAACCTTCAATTATATTATGTAAACTCTTTATGGCATTAACCCACACTACTATTGCATTGTGTCAACCTTCTATTACATTTTGTCAACTCTTTATGACATTTATTAATACTACTGTTATGGGTCAGAATAACCCTAAATCCCAGCAAAGATCAATCACACAGTTTGAATTTAACAATAATTTATTTACAGTAATATACAAATCATTAAGTACAAACTTAGCAAAAATCTAAAAATACATACATCAGAGTGTCCGTTGCTGCACACAATGTCCCAGTGAAATTATATCCCAGTAATACATCAATGATGCTTATACGACAATGGTATCTATGCATCGAATTGACAGGATATTTATACAGTAATATAAATCTAGAATATTCTAGAAGTTGTAAGTACATGATATTACAGGAAAGTTCTGGACATACACAAAGTTCAAGAATGTTCTAGAAAAAATGACCGAACATGTTGACCACTCTTGAATGTTCAAGAAACTTAATGTTACTAATAATATACAAGATGAAACAATACAAATACAACACATCTCACAACACCTCCCCCCTTAAAAAGTTTGAATGTCAATGAAAACTTATATTATTAAAATAAAAGTTATGTACATTAATACAAAATCTAATTTGTTCATGATACTCTGGACAAGGCATCTGCAATAACATTGTCTTTGCCTTTGATATGCTTAATTGTTATGTTGTATTCTTGTAACAACAAACTCCATCTAGTCAGTCTTTGATTCTTGTTTGACAATTTATGCAAAAATGTCAGGGGGTTGTGATCTGTATATACAAGAATTGGATGCAAAGTAACATTCAGATAAACATCAAAATGCTGTAAGGCTAACAACAAAGCAAGACATTCCTTTTCAATGGTGGAATACTTTTGTTGACATTTTGTAAGTTTCTTTGAAAAATAAGAAACAACTCTATCTACCTTATCACTATGTTCTTGAAACAAAGCTGCCCCGATTCCAACATCACTAGCATCAACAGTAAGCTTAAATTGCTTAGCAAAATCTGGAGTTGACAGAACTGGATTGCTCATAAGGACAGATTTGATTTTATGAAATGATTTTTCACAGTCCTTTGTCCATTCAAAGTTAACCCTCTTTTGTAAAAGATTTGTAAGTGGACTAACTACTGAGGAAAAATTTGGACAAAATTTTCTGTAAAACCCAGCCATGCCCAAAAACCTCATTAACTCTTTCTTGTTTGTAGGAATCGGGAACTTTGCAATAGCTTCCACTTTAGCCATAATGGGTGTAACATAACCTTGACCTACTTTATGACCTAAATACTCTACATAGGCACGACAAAATTCGCTCTTCTCAAGGTTCACAGTTAAGCTTGCTTTAGCTAAAATGTCAAACAATCAGGCATGATTCGGAGATGTTCGTCCCATGTGTCGCTGTATATGACGACATCATCAATGTAGGCCTTGCATCCCTCAAGGTCTTGAAGAAGGGAGTGAATCATTCTTTGGAATGTAGCTGGTGCGTTTTTCATGCCAAAAGGCATTACTTTATACTGGTAAAGTCCATCTGGTGTAGCAAAAGCAGATATTTCTTTTGCTCTTTCTGTTAACGGCACTTGCCAGTAGCCTTTCAACAGGTCAAATTTACTGACAAATTTTGCGTTTCCAATACTGTCAATACAGTCATCGATTCTGGGTATTGGATATGAATCAGTTTTGGTAACAGAATTCACCTTTCTAAAGTCTGTACATAATCGGTAGGTACCGTCCTGTTTTGGTACAAGAATACACAGTGAGCTCCAATCACTTTTACTAGGTTCAACAATGTCATTGTCCAACATGTACTGCACTTCCCTTCTTAGGTACTGCAATTTTATTGGATTCAGACGGTACGGATGTTGTTTGATGGGCAGAGCGTCGCCAACTATAACATCATGACAAGCTGCATTAGTTTTCTTTGGAACATCCGAGAAGATTTGATGATACTCATTCATCAAGTTTTTAACTTGTTCTTTTTGGTGAATGTTCAAATGTCCAAGTTTGGCATCAAAATCAGCCAAAATTTCTGAGTTTTTCAAGCGGACACTCTGATTACAACATTTCTCATTCATTTCTACACTCGTATCACTCTCAATACAATTTTGAACAGTCTTAGCATTGGCTAAAGTAGAAACTGGTTTTACAGAATTTCGGTCACACCTTTCAAAATACTCTTTTAACATGTTAATGTGACAAACCCGTTTCTCTTTACGTCGACCTGGTGTCTTAACTACATAGTTTACATCACTGATCTTGCTTTCAATTTCATAAGGGCCATAAAATCTGGCCTGTAAAGGATGACCAGGAATAGGTAAAAATACAAGAACCTTATCACCTGGCTTAAACACCCTATTTCTGGCACCTTTGTCATACCACATTTTCATTTTCATCTGAGAATTCTTCAAATTTTCTTGTGCTAATTTACAAGCATTGTAAAGTTTTTCTTTGAAATCAGACACATAATCTAAAAGATTAAGATCACTAGTCTCAGTCAGCCACTTTTCCTTCAACAATTTCAAAGGACCCCTAACCGTATGACCAAACACCAATTCCAAAGGACTAAACCCAAGAGACTCCTGGACTGCTTCTCGTGCAGCAAATAGTACAAGATGAACCCCTTCATCCCAGTCTTTTTCATACTGGTAACAATAGGTCTTCAGCATTGTTTTTAGGGTTTGATGAAAACGTTCTAGCGCTCCCTGGGACTCAGGATGATAAGCAGTTGATCTATATTGCCTTATACCCAACTCATGCATGACTTGCTGGAACAACCCCGAAATAAAATTTGAGCCTTGATCCGACTGAATTGCCTTGGGTGCTCCTACAAAACTGAAAAAACTTGGTTGGGGCCTTAACTATGCTCTTTGCCTTTATATTCCTAAGAGGTATGGCTTCAGGAAATCGAGTGGATGTACACATAATGGTAAGTAAATACTGGTTTCCTGACCTAGTCCTAGGCAAAGGTCCTACACAATCCACCAACACTCGACTAAACGGTTCTTCAAAAGCTGGAATGGGTTGGAGAGGAGCAGATGGTATCTTCTGATTTGGTTTACCTACCATCTGACAGACATGACATGACTTGCAAAACTTTGAAACATCCTTTCTTAGCTTAGGCCAATAAAAATGACTCAAAATCCTATTATAAGTCTTATTGATACCTAAATGACCAGCCATTGGTGTATCGTGAGCTAAACTCATGACATCTTGACGGTAAGCAGCTGGGACCACTATTTGGTGAACCACACGCCACACTTCATCTGGAGAAGCGTCAGGTGGTCGCCATTTTCGCATAAGGATGCCATCTTTCATATAGAAGCATTCTCCAACTTTAGTAGCCTCTTCTGGTGGAAGTGCCCTCTTACTAAGTTGAATGATATCTGGGTCTTTATGTTGTTCAGAGAGTAAACGTTCTCGGCTGAGGATGTCCTTGCCTTGGCTTTCTGGTAGAGTTGACTCATCTGCATTACAACTTAATTTTGATAAAGGTTCCTTCGTCACCGACTTCTTGATATTGTGTGGTTCCATGTTTGTTTGAGTGCCATCAAGGTCAAATAAGAAAGTGTCATTCAAATCAATATCAACAGAGGAATTCGTCTCGTCAAAGGCTTGAGTATGGTCTGCCTCCATTTCTCGTCTTCTGGCCATCGCTCTAGTAACAGCACAGGCTGGATAAATATCATCATCTTCATCATCGCACATGACATCTGGAGTGATTTTCTCACAAACTATAGGATCTGGTACAACTTTTCCACCAGCTAAATCATTGCCTAGCAACAAAGAAATGCCTGGAACGGGAAGAGTAGGTCGAACACCTACGATAACAGGTCCAGTAACTAAATCTGACTTCAAACTAATTCTATGCAGGGGAACATCAATGACGCCTAGCTCCACACCCTGTAATAAAACTGACCCACCAGTAGAAGTCTGCTCAGACAAAGGAAGCACGCCCTCTAACAATAACGTCTGTGCAGCACCAGTATCTCTCAAAATCTGGACAGGTTTTATTTCGCTAGAGTCACCGAGTGAAACAAATCCCTGAGACATAAAGGGTTTATAATCCTCCATAGAATCAATAGAACTGGACTGTGAACCCTGGACATCAGGAGTGTCAGAACAAATAGAAACTAAGGCTTCTCTATCACCTCTAACTGCCGCACAAGCGTGTGGTTGTGTTTTATCAAAATCATTTTTTCTCTTAAGTTTAAAGCATTCACTGATCAGATGACCCTTTTTCTTACAATAACTACAAGTAGGAAGCGACCCTATTCCAGAAGATCCTTCAAAACGTCCTGGACCGGACTTAGAACCACCTTGGGATGGAGACTGGGAACTTGTGAAATACTGAGACCCTGAACCACTCTTTTTATACATGTATGTGTCTGAATTGGTGGAATTACTGCTAGTCTGA